CGATACAGGAGAGGGAGTGGGTTGCAGGAGAGGGAAGACAACTGACACAAAAAGACTGGATTGAGTTCAAGATCCTTGCTCTCGCATTTGAATCCTTCAATGATCTCGCCCCATCCTACTCTTCAACTTCTTTCACCCATACCAACCTGACCATTCCCTTTGCTCAGCTGACACTGGCCTACTCCACACCCTCTGTTCTATCTTCCCCACCATCAGTGGCCATCCTGCAAGTCCTTCATACCTGTTCTCTGGAACTCTATTCCGATGTCCCTCTGCCTTGCTCCTTCCCTCCCCTCTTTGACCATGTTTTTGGTCATCTTTCCCCTCCTCATTCCCCCTCAGCTCTGGCGGCCAGCCAGAATTGTCAGGCACTCTGGGACAGTGAAAGGTGCTATATAATTGTAAATTGTATTGTATTTTGAGATGCAACAACAACAATTTGCATTTATTTGGCACCCCTCACTCAGCGAAGTGTCTCAGAGCGCTTGACTGCACTTGTGTCAATGCCTGGGGATATATTCTGCCAGAGAAATTAGGCTTTCATGGAGCCACAAGAGGACGAGGAAAGGTTTGAGAAATTTGAGAATTTTTTACTATATATTGATATCGTTTGAAAAAATTGAAACTTCCTTCATTGTAAAACAGATCTTTCCATACAAATATTTGACAGCAAATCCATGTTTATTTTAATAAAAATTACAGCTTTTATACAAAGACAACACTTCCAAAAAGTAATGATTTATGATCCACATAGATTTTTGGCAAATATAATTTATTAATAATGCATATGTAACAAGAAAAAGAAATGAGTATGAGCTAATTCAGCAGTCACATGGCCACAATATCACAGCACTACCATTGTAAACCTGGTTGTCAAGGTGATAGACCTAAACAGGCTGTGCTGATTCGTAACTCCTGTTAGCATTTCCACAAAATTCTCAAAGTAACTCCTGTTAGCATTTCCACAAAATTCTCATAGGAATAGAAAGATTCATACTTTCTAATAGACATGCAAACCACCAGTCACGTATCTCCAGAGGTCCTTGTGAACATCTGGAAGTTCCTAAATTTGTCAGCTAAGTCAGTTTCTATAACTGTATGAGAATCTGCATCGTGAAGCCTCTTAAATACATCAGTGCAGTACAAACTTAACTGATCCTCACAAGTACACTGGTAGGTAGTAAATACATAGAATCAGCTATTGAATGAATTTTACACTATTGGGCAACACAGTAGTTTTGCTCTTAACTAAAGTATTCACTTCCACAAACATTATTTAATGAAAATGTTGCCGAATATTAATGAAGGGGGTACATAATGTCAATTTACAAAAAAGAAAGTTAATCCAACCTTTTGCACCTGTAAACTGTGCAACAATACATAATTCACAGTAAAGTCCATGCATGTTTGAATGCTGCTCAAGTACTTAGGGGGACTCTTCAATCCCAATCCTGAACATGATATAAGAAAAGGCTCATTATCATCTTTGACTTTTATATTGGATCAATTGGAATAATCACTCCTCTGAATATCCTACTCTTGGTCACAAGTTTCAAATACACTGTCCTTCAAACTCCAGGTGCTCCCGGGATCCTCAATGGGTGGAAATCGAAGCTCCCTGCATCAACTGTCATACATTCTTTCCCATAATCTCCAAAACTGTGGAAATCCTCATGTTGCTCAGTCTTTCCTTTCTCCTAAACTCTGCAAACTTTAAAAAGACTAGTTTTGATCACTGTTGTTGTCAAACTAATGTTCTGTTTTACTTGCCTATTCTGCGACCTTTCTCAACCATGGTGGCGCAGTGCACTATGAGCCTTGACTCTCCATTTCGGTTTCTAAAAGCAAGTGTCACTGAAGCTGAGGAAGAAGGGATGAATACTGGATGGAAAAAACACATGTCACGGGTCAGCAGAGTTAATATTACTTAATTGTGAAATCAACTTTATTTCGGCATATAAATTATGTGGATCTGAATATTTCTCTGGATGATCCTTGTAGAGGAATCAAGGACAACTTATTTATTAACTTTTTATTTGCATGGTTTCTTGGATATAATAGCTTAAATGGACAAGCTATGATATAAATCAAGTTTGTCCTTTGGAGTACACCTCATCAAGTTGTTGCTCTATTTATACACTGCAAAGGTCAGTCTTTCCACAAGTGTTCATTGCAAGCATCACTCAGAAGATAAAAATAAAAGTGAATCAAGCTGCTGAACCATACATTGGGCTATATGAAGCAGTCGTCTACTATTCCANTTTTTTAAGAAGTACAGCATCTCCTACTTAATAATAATAATCCTTGCATTTGGTATAGCTCCTTATCACGTCTTTGAGATGTTTGAAAGCGCTTCACAGAATATACTGTAAAATGAATTGACTGTATATTTTGTGGGCGAAATGCAATAGCCAATTGTGTACAGCAGTGTCCCATAAACAGTTGTGGATTGAGTGACAAAATTATTCTTTTTTTTAAATTTGAAGGGATTATTATCCCATAGTTAACCATAACTACAGGAGATTTTGAGTTGTGTAATCTCCCAAGATTTCCTAAGCAAACCTAGCCTCACTTAAGGGACTAATTTGTATGAATCATCAAATCTAAAACTGCTGAAGCAGTGTTGCCCCCATTAAGATTCATGCAAGGTATTACTTATATAAATACTGCAAATGTCATTTATCACCAGATAATCCCCTGTTTTGTTTCAGATGGATAGCGTTAGGTCATTTTTTTCCTCTTAAAAACTCTTTGATTTACAAGGTTCTTTGGTTTGTAGCAGCTGAACTGAGCAATGCTATATTGCTCCAAAGTAAAACCTGGAGACAATAATAGTACTCCAGTATTCCTGATAAGAGACACATTCGAGCTGCTTAATGTCCATTAATCCACATGAGTCTATAATACAACCAGGTTGCAGATGCTGCATATACAGAACATGTCTTCCCCTGGAACTTGGAACACATGCTCTGTACACACAGTATGCCAATTTCGTATCAGATTATCCAGAATTCTGCAGCTCGTGTCTTTTTCCGCACTAGACTCCATGAGCCTATCACCCCCATCCTCAACCAGCTACAATGGCTCCCCATCACAAACCGGATAGAGTTCAAGATCTTCATTCCAACCCTTTAAATCCTTCATGGTCTTTCCCCACACAACCTCTGTGACCTTCCCAAACTTCACCAAACCCACCCACTCCCTCTGCTCAGTGGGGACTACCCTCTTTTATGTCCCCCACTGCAACCACCCCGCCATGGGTGATCATGCCTTCAGGCTATCTGCCCCCACTCTTTGGAACTCTTCAAAGATCCATCTCAAGGTTCACCTCAAGACCTTCATCTTTGACTACATCTTCAGTCCTCCTCCTCTCTGCAACACCCCACCTCCACCCTTCCTGGTAGGAATGCAAACCCTAGACTGTCCAGTGCCTTGGGATGTCCTCCCAATATCAGCTATATAAATCTAAAGAATTTGTTGTTGTACATACATTACAGTGGATTTATCCCTTAAGTCATGTCTCTAATATTGGAAGAAGATATTATTTCAGATTGCATACAACAATGTCAATTGGATGATCTGAATGCTATAATTATTCATTGACATGCACACTGGAAAACAAGTAAAGTGTATTCTTTGTATTAAAGGTGTTTTTCGAACAAATAATGATATTGCTACAATTTCAAAATGAACTGACTTTACAATAAATGACTTGAACACATTTATTTTTCCCTCTGTCAGTTAATAAAGCTAATATAACGACATATCTGATCCAAGTAGATTCTGTTATACCACAAACAATTTCAATTTAAAACTTAGATTCACAATATCAACCAAAAGTAAAAAGTGTTTTAAAAATGTACTATTTGCAAAGGGAACCAAAAACAACAGTAATTTACATGTATATAACATGCTTCATGTTCATATAACAAATCAAAGCATTTCATAAAGACTGAATGGGAGCCCAAGCTGGGGAAAGAAAGGGAGCCGAAAGTGCAGGTAAGGTTTGAAAGCAGAGGGGTAAGGGGCAAGTTAAGAGAGATTTTGAGAAAGAGCTCCATAGAGTGGGGGGGCGCAGTGTCTGAAGACTCATCTATCAATAGTGAGTGGAGTGAGCAGGCCAGAGATGGCAGGACTAAAGGAGCAGGATCTCAGGCGATCGCAGAGGTAGCCTAGTGCAAGGCCATGGAAGCATCTGAAGGTGGGTATAAGGATCTTAAGGTTGATCCACCTGGGGATGAGCTCATGGAGCCCAGTGTGGGAGAGGTTACAGGCTGCGGAATTATAATAATAACCCTTGCATTTGATATAGCACCAACAAGAAAAATACAGTACATCTTAATAACGTACCAAATACTTTTGTTACAAATTGAAGCTGTTTACACTGTAGAAATATCGTCTCCAAAATGCAGTTAATTCTTCAGGGACAATACAGTATTTCATGTCAGTCACTTGTATGGCCTCATGCTTTAGGCGAAGGCTTACCAGGTACCGTATAGTGCTGGTACTTTGATACTTTGCATCACTGTCTAATGGAATAAAGATCCCATTCAAATATTACCACCAAATTCCCAACAACAACAAATTATGTTCGTAAATGCCTTAGACATCAGGAGGATGTCCCAAAAGCGCTGGACAGTTAAGGATTTGGACCCGAGCTGGGAGTTGGGATCAGGAGGGGTGGAGGGCAGGGAGGGTGACATAGGCGCGGTTGAAGAGGAGGGTCTTGAAATGGGCCTCGAAGGAGGCAAGGGAGGAGATGAGGCTAAGGAACAGTGGGATGGAGTTCCAAAGAGTGGGTGCAGAAGGGCTAAAGGCCCAACTGCCGATGGTGGAGCCAGCAAGCCGGGGGACATGGAGCAGGCTGGAGGCCAATGAGCAGAGAGAGCAGACAGGTCAATATGGATTGAATGGAGGAAAGGTAATATACCAAATGGAAACATCCTTTCTTGGAGGGAGAAGGATTAGAAGATGAGAAACCTCACATCACCTTTACATACCTCTTTCACAGCTTTCACAAGTATGACATGAAGTCACCTCACCAACAGAAATTCATGCCCAGTAACACGTAAGAAAATCTGGATATGGAAGATAAAACAAATGAAAAGTAATTACTGAAAATATCACATTAAATTACCAAGCAAAGGGTTAAATGGTATATATATTGTCAGACTAGCCCAGGAGTAGAAAGGAAACTGATAGGCGAGTCTAAGAGGGGAGTGTGAGCTGCCAGGCAAATTCAGGGGGGAAACAGGAGCCAACAGTTGAGTCCAGGAGGAGAGGGGGGGAAACTGACAGGTGAGGTAAATCCAGGAGAGTCACAGAACTTAACAGGTGAGACCAAGAACGGACGGGTAAGTTAATAGTAAAGTTCAAGAGAGGCATATCAGACTGGGCTTCCATAAATGTTTTGCATAAAACAAAATCACAGATCCCTGACCCCCATAAAGCAATGCATGACCTTTAACAAGTTGTGTTTTACCAACTATTCACACATTACATCTCTAAATAATGCCACATAATTTTGCCTACAATTGAAGTTAGAACTCATATTCTTAATGTACTTTAAAAAAATGCACATTACAATCCTCTGGAAACGTCCACAGTTAGTGAATATAAAATCCAGTTAAAGTGGCATAATTTGAGTTCCCACCTCAATTAAGACTCATGGATACATATTGTGCAGTTTAGCCACCTCTATATAACTATATTTGTCATAACATCCTTACGGTCCAGCTTTTGTCAGTCATGCTTCAAAACCTAATATCTGACTTCAGCATTTTTCTATGTCCCAATATTATTGTTATTCGGAGGACCAATACTTTATTACTGAGTCATATACATATCTATCTATTCACAGATACACACACCTAGATTGTGAATCCCTGTTATCATGCAGATTCGCTTATAAAATTCCACAGACACTGTACCAATAAAACGCACAAATATAAATTATATAAATAAATAATTCTTACAATTGATATAATGCCTTTCATGTTGCAAGGATGTCTCAAAGCACTTCGCAGGATTTTGTGACTGTATTTTGTAAGCGAACGTGGCAGCCAATTTCAGAACAGCAATGTCCCGCAAACATCCATAAAGTGAATGAACAATTTCATCAAAGTTGGCCACAACACTGAAAGAAACTCCTGATTTCAAATAGTGTCACAGGATCTTTAAAATAGATTGAACTGGATAGGCACAGACAGAATCTCAGTTTTAACGTCTCATCCGAAGGACAGACCCTTCGACAATGCAACGTTCTCCCTCGCACTGCACTGGAGTGTCAGCTTGGACTGTGAGCTCAAAGTCCTGACATGGGGCTTAATCCCACAAGTTTCTAACTGGTAGGTAACAGTGCTACCAACTGACCCAGTGGACACCCATATATCTGTTTTGTTAAATTTTTAGCCAGCTCCTTACCTAAACTGGAGCTGATTGCATTATACAATCGTAATTGCCAATCACATACAAGTGTAAAACAAGCAACAAATTACATTTGTATAGCGCTTTTTACGTCAAGGGGATGTCCCAAAGCGCTCGACAGTCAGAGATTTGGATCCAAGCAGGGGGTTGGGATCAGGAGGAATGGAGGGCAGGTAGGAGGGTGGCCAAAAGAGTGTCAAAGAGGAGGGTCTTGAGACATGCCTTGAAGGAGGCAAGAGAGGGAGTGAGGCGAAGGGACTATGCGATGGGTTCCAAAGGGTGGGGACAGAGCCTGAAGGCCCGACTGCCGATAGTGGGATAGGCCAGGCGGGGGAACGATGAGCAGGCCGAAGTCTGCTGAGTGGAGGGAGAGGACAAGTTGATATGGGGTTAGCAGGTCACAGAGGTAGGAAGGAACAAGTCTGTGGAGGGCTTTGAAAGCTTATGAATGACTGTAAGTTTAAAAATGGCCATAAATGTTAAAATAGTAAATTCACATTATTAATCCATCATAATTTCTATATTTACATAGTTCATGCATTACCGTATGTGATAACCTTGATGCACATTTTCTTTAATTATGGAGGTATCAATGTACTCTTCCTTTATGTAGAATAATAACTTAAGAAATTCAGATCTAACTTTGCCAAATGATTTAATATAAAACTAGATGTGCGTCTTTGTGGGCTCAAATGATAAAACGCTTAAGATAAAACTTACAAAAACAATTTTATTGTTTAGCTTTTCATACTGAAAATTTTGAACCACTGCACTTAACAAAAACTAAATTAAGGTCCTTGGATAGCTGCATTCTGTTTAAATTTTGAATAATGTCATTTATATTTTTTCCTACCAGATGCTGAGAGACTTCACAAGGACACCAGGTTCAATCAGAACCCTGATTAAAGTTCCATCTGGAGCTTAATGGATTCACAGATCCGTTACAATTACCAAAGTCACCAGTGTCAATCTTCACAACTGTATAAGAGGCTTCAGTTCCCATGTCTACAACAAACTGTTTTAATCAAACAGTCTTGATCCATTTAAAATAAATGGAAGGAAAAAACCATGCATGTTAGCCAGAATGCAACCGGTCGCAAAGGTCACAGAACTGCTGAATATTATGTCCTGGCACAAAACACAACAATTAAATATGTAGCAAACTATTCCCAAAATGACACTGTTTCTTTATTAAATTTTGCCCCAGTAGTTTTAAAAAGAAGAAATGATCTTTTGCAAAATTGGTGAAAATTCCTCCTTTGAAACCATCCACTCCCCATTCCTCCTCTGATTCTAGGAAGTCACTTTCAATGGACCTACAGAACTTACACCAACCCACAGAATGGTACCAGCAAACAGCTGCTGTCCCAGTCGTACAAGCACAACAAACCGATTCAATCTCCTCAATCAATCACCTCAACCTAACTCTATTCACATGCCCCTTCTCTCTCTCGCTCCCCCCTCGAACTGATCCCGAGAAAAGTTGAGCTCCCTTGTCCCACGTACCATCTCTGTGTTTAACCAGCTTCTCGATCACAATTCAACTAGAATAAAGAAACAAGTGTGTAAGAAAAGAAAAAATTCAGCCAACCTAAATCAAGAACAAATTCTAAAATATATCTTGAAAACTGTAATTTAGTTTCATAAATTCAACATTCAGAGCTTATAACATAACTCAATGAAACAGACTGCATATCATCCATTTTGGTACAACATAGTTCTCAATTTGAAAATGTAGCTTAATATTTAGAACTACATATATGCAATAATCCTCTGATCAGACAGCATCATTTTACTAATAGAGTAGGAAGGTTATGTCTGTTATTTAACTTGTGAATTAATGCAGTTTTCAGCCTGCGTAGTGCTTCAATGAATAATGCATCACAGCTCTAATACACCGCAATGCTCTTACCATTTTGTACCATCATTCTGGAATAGCATATGAAATCATTCAGTTTTATGTACGCATTGTTCATTCTAGAGTAACAATGTCATCTTCCAAGATATGGCTATGGTAAATACACTTTTGGGCAAACTTTCAACAATGCAGCACTCAACCAGGTTTTCATTGGAATGTCAGCCTAAACTGATCTCAACTCCTGATGTGGCACTTGAACCCACAACTTCCACATGTTAAATAACAGACCCAGAAGAAAGAGAGAGCGCTACCAAATAAGCCAGACAGTGAAATACAGCACAATGAATATAACTGATGTAAAGTATCACTAACATTACTTTTAGTCAGCCAAGGTTCTGACACATGCAGAAATCTATCACCATGCTTAAGAGTATCCTAACCAAACTCAGAATTCCATGCATCCTACCTACACAAGGACATTTGGAATGTAATGCACACTCTCTCCCTGGAGGGACACGTTCTGCTTACCTAATTCTGAAGAGTATTAGGCATAGGCTGGCAAAACCTAAGGCTTGGGGCCTCAGAGTGCGAGTTGGGTTACTGATGGAATTCAACAGCTAAAACCATACAGCTGGCCATTGAGAGCATCGTCTGGTTAAATTCCTACTGCTTGTCTATCTAGGACCACCCAATCCAATCAGGCTTTGGCTTGTAGGGTTAACAGGAGCTGAGCTGGAAGAAACTCTGACCCTGCTCCAGGTCTGCCCCTGCAAGTCCTACCAATGATCCTGGCTGGCTGGTGAATCATCGGCACTGCCGGAGTACTATTAACCCGCCGGACTCAGAAACTGGATCCCTGAGACCGTCAGAGGATTGACTTGATTCCAACATTCTGTTCTTAAGCATGTCACCCAGAAACCAGTTCACCTCAAAGGAGATGCCATTTACCTGCCCTTCAAGATTAGTCACACCAAGTTACCATAATAAAAGAAATGCACTAACAGCAGAATTAGGAGAAAATCACAATGGCAAAATTATCTATATTCATCTTTACTATCTATCTATCATCCAGTCTGCACACACTAAGTTAATTTCAATAAATTCTGCTCTTTGGCCAATAACACAAGAGATGGCAATTGTTATCTAGCCAATTTTGTATATTTAGAAAAAGATACTGGGCCAGCACAAGATTGTGATTCTATAGTACATCAGTGATAGATTTTCTAGTCCTGCAAGTACAGTATTAATATCTCAATCCAAATAGATATCAAATGAGTCAACGTCAGTCACAAGAAGCAATTTTCTTTAGGGGTTCATCTTGAATATACTTTTCTTTAGCAGACTGCAACATCTTGTTGGAATGAAGCCCTGTTATTCTCACTTCCTGCTTAACACATTTTTGCCATCAGATTGAAAGTGGCAGTAACAGGATAGCAGCGCAGTAACACTGATGCACGCCAATGTGCTCAAGAGCAGCAGAATCAAGCAACTGATTATATTAAATCAGATTCATGTACAAAGCTCTTTGCCTCATTACTTAATCCAAGTGAATACCCAATCAAGTGATAATAGACGTTGATGCTACAGGTGTTGTCCATTTAGAAACATATTAAATGTCCATCGCCAAAAACCAGAACGGAAGCAAGAGATTTCTTTCTCTCGAGTCCTGATTTAGTAATGTACCAAATGTTACACACCACTGCACAATTAAGATTTCTTTTAAATACAGAATATATATCGGTGCCTTCAGTCAAACAAATAATTGCATACAGTTAGAAATTATTAACACTATAC